AGGATCACTAGGAGTCCAATCTAGAAGTGAGACCCTGAACACCCTGTAAAGCCTTCCCTAAAATACAAAAAAAAAAAATTGCTTTTAAATTTGTTAATATATAATTACAATGAAAAGTAAAAGGTGTACTACATAACAGATACAGATATCAATTTGAATTTTCTTCAAGCATTATTAAACTTTCACTGTTGAGAATTCAAATCTTGAGCCAAAATATAACTAATTTTTGCTCTAGATGAAATATTTACTTTCAAAGAGCCGGTTATCATAAATACATACACAAATAAACACTAATCCTTTCTTTTTTCACAGAAATTAATTGCCAACATTTTCATGTATCCCTGTATATATTTAATATATATCATACATATAATGATTTTTAGATTGTTCTATTATCGTCTATTATTTTTTGTTGACTTCAATGTTTTTTGTAATAATACTTTTATATCTTCTGAGAAATTATTTTAACTCAGCATTTTTCCATGTCTCTGTATTTTTTCTTCTACATATATAATGCATTTTCTCCTTATCTTGGCTTGGCGTCATCAAAAGGCACACTATGGCCAGTGAGATAGCTCAGTGGACTAAGAGCCTGCTTAGGCAAGCACAAGGACCACGGTTCAATTCCTGGTACTGCATGCTGCACCAGCCTAGCCCCTGGGAACACTGAGCCCGCCACTGAAACCAGGCGTGGTGGCACATTCCTATAATCCCAGGGGTGGGCAGGCTGAAAATAGGAGGATCACTATGAGTCCGAGCTATGTAGTGAGACCCTGTACCAGACACATAGAAAAAGGCACGCTAGTTAATATGCTCATCTCATACTGAAGCTTCTTTTTCAGAACTTACTCTTCTTTTTAAGGTAGAATGGGCAGCTCAAATCTTCCCAAGTTTCATTCTTCATTTATTAGAAACATGTTGGATATTTCTAATTTAAACTAAAGAAAAATGTGCAATAATTACTAATGTAGCTATTTCCTGTTTCTTGTAAAATAAAATATAAATTCTTTAAAAAATTTTATAATTGCATAAAATAAATAATATCCTTCAAAAGTTTGAAGCTATATCAGGACATTTTATAAAGCCATTCTTGTAAATTGTATAATTTTGAATGTGTTGTATTTTAGAATCTTATTTTCACAGTCAGTAATACCTATATTGTACCTGTACAAATATGCTTACTATGAAAAACAATTACAGATGAAAAACAATTACAGAAGAGACATTAATTTAATAAAGAATATATTAGTGCAAAAAACAAAATCTTAGTATCATGTAATGTGAGACTTACTGTCATTCTTAATATTTAACAAAAATCTATAAATAATCTTGGAGAAAGATTATTGATATGAATACTAATACTTTATACAGAATTACCTCAGCAAACCTTGCTAATAATTTTATTTCTGTACAGGACAAAAATGCAAAAATCCCTTAATTCTCAGTCTTTCTATGTGACTTTAATTGTGGTTTAAAAAAAGGGTATATGAGAAAGCCGGGCTGCCTAAATAGACTCAGAAACTTAGAGTAGGAGTTAGTACTAGGTACCAGGAAGAGAAACTCCGTGCCTGTAGTTTGAACTTCGGTTCCCCTTTTCAGTTATGACTAATGAACAGCCCACTCTCAAATACTTCCCTAAGGTAGATACAGTTTGAAATGGTGATTTAACAGATGGTTTACTGAGTGACT